GAACCCAAAACCTCCCCCAGCCCCTCCAAAACCCCCCCCAAAATGAGTCCCCAGCACCCTGAGACCTGCCCCCCAAAAAAAACCCCAAAATTCCCCAAATCCTCCCAAAATTCCCCCCAGGGACCCCTCCCCAATTCCCCCCCGGGGGTCTCACCGCTCGTCGGGGCCCCCCCGCAGCCCCCCCGGGCCGGAGCTGCGGCTCAGGGAGCGCCGGTGGCCCCGGGACCCCCGCGGGTCCTCCTCGAAATCCTGGGGGGGAAAAGGGCTGGGACCCCCGAATTGAGGAAAGGACCCCCGAATTGGGGAGGGGAGCCCCAAAAATGGGGGTGGGAAACCCAAAAATGGGGGTGGGAGCCCCAAAAATGGGGGTGGGAGACCCAAAAATGGGGGTGGGAAACTGAAAAATGGGGGTGGGAGACCCAAAAATGGGGGAGACCCAAAAATGGGTGTGGGAGACCCAAAAATGGGGGTGGGAAACCCAAAAATGGGGGTGGGAGCCCCAAAAATGGGGGAGACCCAAAAATGGGGTGGGAAACCCAAAAATGGGGGTGGAAAACCCAAAAATGGGGGTGGGGTCCTCAAAAGTGGGGGTGGGGTCCTCAAAAGTGGGGGTGGGGTCGTCAAAAATGGGGTGAGAACCCCAAAAGTGGGGTGGGTTCCTCAAAAATGGGCTGGAAACCCAAAAATAGGGAAGGGATCCTCAGAAATGGGGGTGGGGTCCTTAAAAACGGGGATGGGACCCCCAAAAATGGGGGTGGGAAACCCAAAAATGGGGTGGAAAACAGAAAAATGGGGGTGGGAGACCCAAAAATGGTGGGAAACCCAAAAATGGGGGTGGGAGACCCAAAAATGGGGGTGGGAGCCCCGAAAATGGGGGTGGGAAACCCAAAAATGGGGTGGAAAACAGAAAAATGGGGGTGGGAGACCCAAAAATGGGGGTGGGAGCCCCGAAAATGGGGGTGGGAAACCCAAAAATGGGGTGGGGTCCCCAAAAGTGGGAGCAAGACCCCCCCAGGACCCCAAAAATAGGAGAGGGGTCCCCTCAAATCTCCCGAAAATTGGTGCTGGGACTCCCAGACCCCCCCAAGAGGAATTTTGGGTTTGTGCCGCGCCCCCAGGTGTGTCCTGAGCCCCCCCAGGTGTGTCCTGAGCCCCCCCAGGTGTGTCCTGAGCCCTGTGAACCTGCCCCAGGTGTGCCCCAAACCCCGCCAGGTGTACCCCAGGTGTATCCAGGTGTGCCCCAAACCCCGCCAGGTGTACCCAGGTGTATCCAGGTGTGCCCAGGTGCAGTCCAGGTGTGCCCCAAACCCCTCCAGGTGTACCCCAGGTGAACCCTGGGGTCACTCAGGTGTGCCCACGTGTGCCCAGGTGTGCCCCAAACCCCGCCAGGTGTACCCCAGGTGTATCCAGGTGTGCCCCAGGTGTATCCAAGGTGTACCCAGGTGTACTCAGGTGTATCCAAGGTGTACCCAGGTGTATCCCAGATGTACCCCACATGTTCCCAGGTGTGCCCAGGTGTATCCCAGGTGTACCCAGGTGTATCCAAGGTGTGCCCAGGTGTATCCCAGGTGTACTCAGGTGTATCCCAGGTGTACCCAGGTGTATCCCAGGTGTGCCCCACGTGTGCCCAGGTGTGTCCAGGTGTGCCCAGGTACCTCCATGTGGTCCAGCGCGGTCCGGCTGGCCCGCAGGGCGCTGCGGCAGCTGCCCCAGGTGTGCCCAGGTGTATCCCAGGTGTATCCCAGGTGTATCCAAGGTGTACCCAGGTGTACCCAGGTGTGCCCCACGTGTGCCCAGGTGTGTCCAGGTGTATCCCAGGTGTATCCCAGGTGTACTCAGGTGTATCCAAGGTGTACCCAGGTGTATCCCAGGTGTACCCCACATGTTCCCAGGTGTTCCCAGGTGTGCCCAGGTGTATCCCAGGTGTACTCAGGTGTGCCCCAAACCTCACCAGGTGTACCCCAGGTGTGTCCAGGTGTTCCCAGGTACCTCCATGCGGTCCAGCGTGGTCTGGCTGGCCTGCAGGGCGCTGTGGCAGCTGCCCCAGGTGTGCCCAGGTGTATCCCAGGTGTATCCCAGGTGTACTCAGGTGTATCCAAGGTGTACCCAGGTGTATCCCAGGTGTGCCCCACGTGTGTCCAGGTGTGCCCAGGTACCTCCATGCGGTCCAGCGTGGTCCGGCTGGCCCGCAGGGCACTGCAGCAGCTGCCCCAGGTGTGCCCAGGTGTATCCCAGGTGTACCCAGGTGTATCCCAGGTGTACTCAGGTGTGCCCCAAACCTCACCAGGTGTACCCCAGGTGTTCCCAGGTACCTCCATGCAGTCCAGCGTGGTCCGGCTGGCCCGCAGGGCGCTGCGGCAGCTGCCCCAGGTGTGCCCAGGTGTATCCCAGGTGTACTCAGGTGTATCCAAGGTGTACCCAGGTGTACCGCAGGTGTGCCCAGGTGTACCCAGGTGTACCCAGGTGTGCCCCAAACCTCACCAGGTGTACCCCAGGTGTGTCCAGGTGTGCCCAGGTGTATCCCAGGTGTACCCAGGTGTACTCAGGTGTGCCCCAAACCTCACCAGGTGTACCCCAGGTGTTCCCAGGTGTGCCCAGGTACCTCCATGCGGTCCAGCGTGGTCCGGCTGGCCCGCAGGGCGCTGCGGCAGCTGCCCCAGGTGTGTCCAGGTGTATCCCAGGTGTATCCCAGGTGTGCCCAGGTGTTCCCAGGTGTATCCCAGGTGTACTCAGGTGTATCCAAGGTGTACCCAGGTGTATCCCAGGTGTGCCCCACGTGTGCCCAGGTGTGTCCAGGTGTGCCCAGGTACCTCCATGCGGTCCAGCGTGGTCCGGCTGGCCCGCAGGGCGCTGCGGCAGCTGCCCGGCTCGGACAGGGCGCCGTAGCGCTGCGCCAGGAGCCGCGCCCGCAGCCGCAGGTACCAGCGCCGCGCCTCCCCGGCCAGGTGCCCGCCCTGCGCCCGCTCCCGCAGCAGCTGCGAGCGCCGCCGCACGTACTGCGTGCGGAACTGCGGCAGCTGCGGCGTGCGGTACGCCGCGTACCTGCCGGGTGAGGGACAGGTGAGAAATGGGGTTAGTGCTACCCAAAACCAGGGAAATTCCACACAAAACCAGACCCAGGTGTGCAGAACTGCGGCGTGCGGTACACCGCATACCTGCTGGGTGAGGGACAGGTGAGAAACGGGGTTAATTCTACCCAAAACCAGGGAAATTCCACCCAAAAATACACCCAGGTGTGCAGAACTGCAGCGTGCAGTACGCTGTGTACCTGCCAGGTGAGGGACAGGTGAGAAACGGGGTTAGTGCTACCCAAAACCAGGGAAATTCCACCCAAAAACAGACCCAGGTGTGCAGAACTGCAGCGTGCAGTACGCTGTGTACCTGCCAGGTGAGGGACAGGTGAGAAACGTGGTTAATTTTACCCAAAATCAGAAAAATTCCACCCAAAAATACACCCAGGTGTGCAAAACTGCAGCGTGCGGTACGCTGTGTACCTGCCGGGTGAGGGACAGGTGAGAAACGGGGTCAGTGCTACCCAAAACCAGGGAAATTCCACCCAAAAATAGACCCAGGTGTGCAGAGCTGCGGTGTGCGGTACGCTGTGTACCTGCCAGGTGAGGGACAGGTGAGAAATTGGGTTAATGCTACCCAAAATCAGGGAAATTCCACCCAAAAATACACCCAGGTGTGCAGAACTGCAGTGGGTGGTACGCCGCATATCTGCCAGGTGGGACAGGTGAGAAATGGGGTTATTTCTACCCAAAATCAGAGAAATTCCACCCAAAACCAGACCCAGGTGTGCAGAACTGCGGCGTGCGGTACACTGTGTACCTGTGCAGATGGGACAGGAAACAAGGGTGAGAGACAGGTGAGAAATGGGGTTATTTCTACCCAAAACCAGGGAAATTCCACCCAAAAATACACCCAGGTGTGCAGAACTGCAGCGTGCGGTACGCCGCGTACCTGCTGGGTGAGGGACAGGTGAGAAATGGGGTTGATGCTACCCAAAATCAGGGAAATTCCACCCAAAACCAGACCAAGGTGTGCAGAACTGCAGCGTGCGGTACGCTGTGTACCTGCACAGGTGAGGGACAGGTGAGAAATGGGGTTATTTCTACCCAAAATCAGAGAAATTCCACCCAAAAACACACCCAGGTGTGCAGAACTGCGGCGTGCGGTACGCTGTGTACCGGCACAGGTGAGGGACAGGTGAGAAATGGGGTTGATGCTACCCAAAATCAGGGAAATTCCACCCAAAAATACACCCAGGTGTGCAGAGCTGCGACGTGCGGTACGCTGTGTACCTGCCGGGTGAGGGACAGGTGAGAAATGGGGTTATTTCTACCCAAAATCAGAAAAATTCCACCCAAAACCAGACCAAGGTGTGCAGAACTGCAGCGTGCGGTACGCTGTGTACCTGCACAGGTGAGGGACAGGTGAGAAACAGGGTTGATGCTACCCAAAACCAGGGAAATTCCACCCAAAAATAGACCCAGGTGTGCAGAGCTGTGCTGTGTGTTACACAGCATACCTGCCGGGTGAGGGACAGGTGAGAAACGGGGTTGATGCTACCCAAAATCAGAAAAATTCCACACAAAAATACACCCAGGTGTGCAGAGCTGCGGTGTGCGGTACGCTGCGTACCTGCTGGGTGAGGGACAGGTGAGGGACAGGTGAGAAATGGGGTTAATGCTACCCAAAATCAGAGAAATTCCACCCAAAAATAGACCCAGGTGTGCACAGCTGCGGCGTGCGGTACACCGTGTACTTGCTTAGGTGAGGAACAGGGGAGAAATGGGGTTAGTGCTACCCAAAATCAGAGAAATTCCACCCAAAACCAGACCCTGGCGTGCGGTACGCTGCGTACCTGCCGGGTGAGACACAGGTGAGAAACGGGGTTAACTCTACCCAAAACCAGGGAAATTCCACCCAAAAATAGACCCAGGTGTGCAGAGCTGCGGCGTGCGGTACGCCGCATATCTGCCAGGTGGGACAGGTGAGAAATGGGGTTATTTCTACCCAAAATCAGAGAAATTCCACCCAAAAATAGACCCAGGTGTGCAAAACTGCAGCGTGCGGTACACAGCATACCTGCCAGGTGAGGGACAGGTGAGAAATGGGGTTGATGCTACCCAAAATCAGAAAAATTCCACCCAAAACCAGACCCAGGTGTGCAGAACTGCAGTGGGTGGTACGCCGCATATCTGCCAGGTGAGGGACAGGTGAGAAATGGGGTTATTTCTACCCAAAATCAGAGAAATTCCACCCAAAACCAGACCCAGGTGTGCAGAACTGCGGCGTGCGGTACACTGTGTACCTGTGCAGATGGGACAGGAAACAAGGGCGAGAGACAGGTGAGAAATTGGGTTAATTCTACCCAAAATCAGAGAAATTCCACCCAAAAATAGACCCAGGTGTGCAGAGCTGCGGCGTGCGGTACGCCGTGTACCTGCATAGGTGAGGGATAGGTGAGAAATGGGGTTATTTCTACCCAAAATCAGAGAAATTCCACCCAAAACCAGACCAAGGTGTGCAGAGCTGCAGCGTGCGGTACGCTGTGTACCTGCTGGGTGAGGGACAGGTGAGAAATGGGGTTAGTGCTACCCAAAATCAGAGAAATTCCACCCAAAAATAGACCCAGGTGTGCAGAGCTGTGCTGTGTGTTACACAGCATACCTGCCAGGTGAGGGACAGGTGAGAAACGGGGTTGATGCTACCCAAAATCAGGGAAATTCCACCCAAAAACACACCCAGGTGTGCAGAGCTGCAGCGTGCGGTATGCCGCGTACCTGCCGGGTGAGACAGGTGAGAAATGGGTGAGAAACAGGTGAGGGACAGGTGAGAAACGGGGTTACTGCTACCCAAAAAAAGAAAAAATCCACCCAAAACCAGACCCAGGTGTGCAGATCTGCGGCGTGTAGTGCCCTGCACACCTGCACAGGTGGGACAGGAGACACAGGTGAGGGACACAGGTGAGTGTGGAGAGTTTTGTGGATGAATGGCTTCGTGAGGAAGGACACGACTACGTGCAGTTAGTGAAGCAGCAGCTGAAAATTGCATAGTGCAGCAATAGCAGATGTAGCAATAATATCTTATGTCCTTGGCTAAGCTGGTTCTCAACAGTAGAATGTTCAGCAAAAAAATAAATGTAAGGGAAAACAAAGCAAGCTTAGAAAGCTCCAAAGGCGGGGCTGACCTGGTTTTGATACACCAATGATGAGCTTAAATTTTGCAATATGCATGAGCTTCATTATAACGGGTATAACTGTACATGTGTGCTCGGAATAAACTGAGACTTGTTGACATTATAGAATGGACTTGTCTCCCGTCATTTTTTCCACAAAATGGTGACCCGATCGACGTGATGGGCGCCACGGTGGAATGACCAAAAAGATTTCGGGTCCTGATGCAGCCAGGAGGGCAAAAGTGCTGAATTGAAATAGAGTGCACCGTGCCCCAGGTGACTGCAGAGGCAAGCCTGGCCGATACGTGCTGCCGACGACCTCGGAGGGCTGCAACAGCGCTGGCAATATCGGTATGGAGAGGCAAGCAGCATATGATTTATTTACTGCGTTCTTGCAGAAAAGGCAGATTAAAGGCATTGATTTGCAGAAAGATCTGCCAGGGTTGTTAGCATATGGGTATTCTAAGGGGTTCTTTGTAAATCCTCATACAGTACATGAGTTGTCTGAGTGGCGTAAGTTCGGGGATAAACTGTGGGAGGAAGTTTTAGATGATGATAAGAAGGCTAAAAAGGTGGGAAAGTGGTGGAAGGTAGTTGACAATGAGTTGTTGCAACATCAGGCAGAAAAGAAAGCTGCTGAACAAACTTCTGCACTAAAGAATAGAGGTTTTAGCGGGGAGGATTGGTTGCCTGGTGTTTCCATGCCACCTGCTGTGTCTACAGTGGAGTTACCTCCATTGCGACCTGTTTCTGAGGACACAGAAACAGAGTCGCGTTGTGAGCCCACGGCTCCTTCAGCCCCCCCAGAACAGAGATCGCCGGTTTGTCAAAGTTTGTCTGTCAGTAAACCGACCCCTAGGGCAGAGTCTGACCTAACGGAGGCTCTGGCCAGGGAACGGAGGGAAGTTTGGGCGACTCTGGTGAGAGAGGAGCTGGACAAAGGAGATGGGCAGGCTTTGGAGCTAGCAGCGGAACCAGCTTGTCCTGTAATTTTTCAGCAGCAGGCAGGCGGAGGGTTAACAGCTCAGATCACACCCTTAGATTGGGAATTGTCAGAATTACGAGCTACAGGGAGTCAATTTGGAGTTACTAGTGAACCGGCTAGGCAGATATTGGATTATGTTTGGAGTACTAATATATTGCTACCAGGAGATTGTAGAAGTCTTGCTAAGCTGATTTTCTCGCCACATCAGAGGCTTTTGTTTGGTGCACACTGGCAGGCAGAAGTTAATGAAGCTGTAGCTATACAAAGGCAGCCTGGAGATCCTCTTCATGGAGTAACTATGGATGAATTGATGGGCTTAGGAGCATATTTTCGCACTGAGGCACAAGCTATGCTAGGACCTGAGAAGTGTCGAGAGGCAATGCGACTGGCTCGAAGGGCTATAGATAAGGTGAAAGACCCGGGAGGTTTGCCAGCGTATATGGGAATTAAACAAGGAAAGGATGAGACTTTTGGAGCATTTATTGATAAGGCAGCGGCAGCAATAGAGAGAGCTGGAGTGCCTGAGTTTATGCGTGGATCATTATTGAAGCAGTGTGCTTTGCAAAATTGTAATGCTTCTACAAGAAGTGTGTTAAACACATTAGGAGCTAATTGGACTATAGAAGATGCATTAGAGAGGATGGCTACTATACCAACGGGGCAGCAGGCATTTTTAATTAAAGCTATTAAAGAGCTGGGGGAGGAGTTAAAAGAGCAGGCAAAAGCTTCACAGACACAGGTGTTAGCTGCTCTTGCACCCCTCCAAGCGTCAGTAGCAACCCAGGGAAATATTTACGGCAGTCGTATGAGATGTTTCTGATGTGGAGGGACAGGACACGTTCGGCGAGAATGCTCTGCTGCTGGAATATGGTGTCCTAAATGCAAATCGGATACTCATAACATTGCTGCCTGTAAGAGGAGACCGGGAAACGCCCGAAACAGCACGAACAAGAGCAGCCGCGCTCCGACACAAATAGCTGCTCCAGCCTTTCCAACAGCGACACCTTGCATCCAGCCACAAGAGGGAGCCTCGGGATGGACTTGGCAGCCGCAGTAGAAGTGACTTTAATGACACCACAGCCGCAGAAGGTCCCCACTGGAGTTAATGGACCTGTTATAATCGAGGGCAGGACAATGGGAGCTTTGTTATTGGGAAGATCATCAGCCTCTATGCTTGGATTATTTGTGCTGCCTGGTGTCATTGATGCAGACTATACTGGTGAAATTATGATTATACTCCATTTCCTCCTATTCGGATTAATAAAGGATAAAGGATTGCTCAATTAGTTCCTCTGGAGCAAGTTACTAAAGCTGTATTCTCACGGAAAAGCCGTGGAGGAGATGGATTTGGATCTACAGGAGGCTTGACTCACTTTGGATCTGAATGACAGGCCAAGAAAAGAGGTTTTGTTAGAGTATAAGGGACAAAAATGCATGCTGACAGGTTTGCTGGACACGGGTGCTGATTCAAGTATTATTGCACCACAGTGTTGGCCTGCACATTGGCCCTTACAGCCAGCTGCTACAGCAGTAACAGGAGTTGGAGGTTTAACTCTTGCAAGTCGCTCGCCACCTCTTACTGTCTCAATAGATGGTAAAGTCATAAAAGCGATATTTTCTGTTGTTCAGTTACCACCTACGGTGCAATGCCTAATTGGGTGAGACATTTTGGCACAGTTAGGGGTTGTCCTGACAAATGAGCACCCTTTGGGATAATAGCCATTGCTTGGACTTTCCCGATTCCCATAACTTGGAAAAGTGATGAGCCTATATGGGTAAAGCAATGGCCTTTGAAAAGGGAAAGTCTGCAACATGCTCATGCCTTGGTTACTGAACAATATCAACAAGGGCATCTGAAATTATCTACAAGTCCTTGGAATACCCCTATCTTTGTGATAAAGAAAAAGTCAGGGAAATATCGCATGACTTATGAGAGGATAATAAACAGATGGAGCCAATGGGTGCACTACAGCCAGGACTGCCTAACCCAGCAATGTTACCTGAAGGATGGCCTCTATTGATAATAGATCTCAAAGATGCTTTTTTACAATAGCTTTGCATGACAGGAATGCAAAACGCTTCGCATTTACCTTGCCAGCTCTGAATAAAGTCCAGATCAGTAATTTAAATAGACAGTTTTACCTCAGGGGATGCACAACAGTCACACTTTGTGTCAACTTTACGTGGATTCTGCATTACAACCATTGAGGCAACAGTGGCCACAAGCTATTATTTATCACTATATGGATGATATTTTGATTGCTCACCCCAAGTCATTTACGAGTCAACAGGTTAAACATGTACAAAATTTGCTGGGACGTTTTAAGCTTGTTGTGGCCCCAGAGAAAATACAGTTAACTTCTCCTTGGAAATATTTGGGATGGACATTGTCTCAAAGCTTGGTAATGCCTCAGAAATTAGAACTGAAAACACAGATTGTTACTTTAAACGATGCTCAGAAATTACTAGGTGATTTACAATGGCTTAAACTTATAGTGGGCCTTCCAAATGAACTGTTGGATTCTCTTAGACCCTTATTGAAGGGCACAGACCCAACGGCACCAGTGGCCCTTAATCCTCAGCAGAAAAGAACTCTTCAGCAGATTACAGACTGTGTGGTTCAGGGTCGTGTACAGCGGCGAATACTGGGAATCCCACTTAATCTCACTATATGGTGTGGTGAAAAACATTTGCTGGGGGCTTTAACACAGCTAGAAACAAAAACGGGGGAGATAAGGGTGTTGGAATGGCTATCCCCTCCACTTCAGCAAACAAAAACTTGAATTCAAAAAATTGAACTGTTAGCAGCTTTGATAAAACGGGGTCGTGAGAGAATTTTGCAGGTTGATGGGCGAGAGCCTGAACTAATACAGATTCCTATGAAAAAGGACTCTTTACAATGGTATTTGGTCAATAGTGAAGAACTGCAGGAAGCTTTGTTAGGAGTAGGAGGTGCTGTCATAACTGAAAGTATTAAAAATCCTCCATTACAGTGGATTGGAAAATTGAGTTGGATGGTTCGGCCACAGTGAGAAAAGGAGCCGATTCCTGGTGCATTAACGGCATACACAGATGCAGGGAAGAGGTCAAGAACAGCAGCAATTACATGGCAGGAGCAGGGAGTCTGGAATCATGAAATCCTTACTGCAAATGACTCAGATACCCTTCAGACCTTGGAGTTAGCAGCTGTGGTTTGGGCTCTGACAGTCCTGAAGGGGCCTTTGAATATTGTTACAGACTCCTTGTATGTAGTTGGTGTCGTGGAAAGAATAGAGGATGCTGCTATCGAGGAAGTACAAAATCAGAGACTATTTGAACTGTGCAGTAAAAATCCAAGAACATCCTTATGCTATCATCCATATAAGAAGTCACAAATGGGAAATTGGTTTAAGAGAGGGTAATGCTCGGGCAGATAAGCTCGTCACAGTGACTCAAACTTCTCCTTTATCAGGGCAAATGCTTGCTAGGGAGGCACATTCTATGTTTCATCAGAACGCAAAAGGGTTACAACGGGAGTTTGGAATATCCCATGCAGATGCCACTGCTATAGTGAGAGCTTGTCCTATCTGTAGTCATCATAATGGGGGTCATGGCATGGGATGGGGAGTTAACCCACGAGGTCTTTCATCTAATGAACTCTGGCAGATGGATGTTACTCATGTAAATAGCTTTGGTCTTCTGAAATATGTTCATGTTACTATAGTTACATATAGTAAATATATCTGGGCAACAGCTCAAGCTGGAGAAAAAGCATTACATGTTATAAGGCATTTGTGTAGTTTTTTTGCAGTAATGGGAGTGCCAAAGCAGATCTAGACAGACAATGGTCCTGCATACATTGGTGGCAGGGTGAATAGATTTTTAAAATCATGGGGAATTAAGCACATTACAGGAATAGCACATTCTCCCACTGGACAAGCAATTGTAGAAAGGGCAAATGGAACTTTGAAGAGATACTTGGAAAAACATAGGGAGTTTGGAGATGTTCAGGAAAACCTAATGAAGGTGCTCTTTGTTCTTAATCATTTGTGTGTATTTGGGGATTCAGAGGCACCACCTGCAATGGTACATTATGGACAAAAAGAAATGAGTAAAAAGGGCAAAGAAGTATGGGTCAGGTATAGGGACCCTAAAACAGGTATTTGGCAGAACCCAGCAAAGGTCCTATACTGGGGAAGGGGATATCTTTGTGTTTCCACCCCTACAGGTTCACTCTGGGTGCTTTGGATGATCCGTCTCAGCCCTCCTGACGGATCAGGACCAGAGGAGAATTGAAGAGAAGCTGATTTGCACAGTGGGAATTATTCTTCAAGAGATAAGAGGACTTTCCCCAGTGATTGATCAATTTTTGCCTTCAGAGTCAACTTTTCTGGCAATTCTTACAGCTATTGAGGCTTTATAGACTGTTCATATTCCGGGACCAAAGAATCCTGAGTGTCGTAGTTGTGGGAATTTTAATTGTCACAGTTGGATTGCTTTTGTTTGTGGGGGTTGTGGACAAACGTACTGGGAAGATAAAGTGTTTTTAAAACGACAGTTTTGGTGTAAACACTGTGATTTTTGAAAACAAGGAGATTCTTGGCAGAGAGATTTAATACGAGACACAGGCTTAGGAGTTGCAATAGCTTTGCAGTTATTTGAAGCGCCAGAACAAAAGATATTAGCTTTTTATAGGTGAGAAGCAGAACACACTTGTGATAGATTAATTAGGCAGGCAAATTCAAAAATTTTATCAACAAGGTGTCAAAAGCAAGTGAAGGTATCTATAAGATCTTATTTAGGAAAACCAGTAGTAGGAAATCCAGACATAGAATTAGATAAGCTTATTAAATATGTGCAGACATTATAATTAAAATTCAAGCAGAAGAACTCATGAGTGCGATAAGGTAGATAATCTATCTTGTTCTTTTGACTAATCTTTGTTGTGCACTAATACAATTTAATCAGCCCAGAGAAAATATTTGGGATGCTGGGCTAAAGATGAACTTAACAAAACATCAGAGGTTTTAGCTATGCTTGCTATGGATGTACAAAGTGTAAATCATGCTGTACTGCAGAACAGAGCAGCCATTGATTTTTTGTTGTTAGCCCAGGGACATGGATGTGAGGAATCTGAAGGAATGTGTTGCATGAATCTCTCTGATCATTCTGTATCAATACATGCTAAGATTAAAGAACTACAACAGGGCCTTCATCAACTAAAAGAAGAAGATGGTCTGGGGATAGAAGAATGGCTTAAAAGCTTAGGAATCGGTCCTTGGCTAAGAACTTTTATTATGTATGTAGTGGGAATCTCGATTGTTGTTTTATTACTCTTGCTGATCTTGCCCTGCCTGTTTAACTGTCTTCAGAAACTGGTGGAACGCATGATTCACAAGATGTGGACAACTAACTTAATGGTCCAAAACAAAAACGGGGGAAATGTGGAGAGTTTTGTGGATGAATGTCTTCGTGAGAAAGGACACGACTACGTGCAGTTAGTGAAGCAGCAGCTGAAAATTGCACAGTGCAGCAATAGCAGATGTAGCAATAATATCTTATGTCCTTGGCTAAGCTGGTTCCCAACAGTAGAATGGTCAGTAAAAAGATAAATGTAAGGCAAAACAAAGCAAGCTTAGAAAGCTCCAAAGGCGGGATTGACCTGTTTTTCATACACCAATGATGAGCTTAAATTTTGCAATATGCATGAGCTTCATTATAACGGGTATAACTGTACATGTGTGCTTGGAATAAACTGAGACTTGTGGACATTATAGAATGGACTTGTCTCCCGTCATTTTTTCCACAGGTGAAAAATGGGGCTAATTCTACACAAAAGCAGAAAAATTCAACACAAAATACGCCCAGGTGTGCAGAACTGGGGCACCTGTGGTGTGCATTATGCTGCACACCTGAGACAGTTGAGACAGGTGAGAAATTGGTTTAATTCGACAGAAAACCAGAGAAATTCCACCCCAAAATGGACCCAGGGATGCGGAACTGGGGCACCTGTGGGGGGTGGCAGGTCACACATCTGGGACAGGTGAAGCAAGCGAGGAATGCGTTAATTCTTACCCAAAACCAGACAAATTCCACCCTAAAATGGGCGCAGGTGTGACAATCCCCCAAAAAGGTGCCCCGAGTACCTCCAAAATTCCGCATCCAGGTAGGAGCATCCCCCTCCCCAAAAAACCCCCCCAGGTGTCGAAAACCCTCCCAAAAAAACCCCACCCCGAGCTCACCGCGCGTCCACGGCGAGCACCTGCTGCCACACGGCGGCCATGGCGGCCGCGGCCGCAGCGGGGGGACCCTGTTGAGGGAACAACGGCGTGAGCTGAGGGGGAAAACGGGGAAAAAAGCGGGGAAAACCGCAAAAAAGCTCATCGGGGCGGTCCTACCTGCGCGTCCCACTCCACCTCCGCCTGAGGAGCTCCGCGGGGCCGCGGCTGGGCCGGGGGAGCGCGGCCGGGCCCGAGCCGAAGTTGCCGCGGCACCGCCTGGCGCCCAAATGGCGGCGAGCGTCGCCCTGAGGCCGGAGGGCGCGGGAGGGGGGCGTGGCCTTCGATGTGATTGGTTGGTTTTGGGGAAACGGGGCGTGGCTTTTGGGCTCCCCGATGAAGCCCGCCTTTCAGGGGCGGACGCTGATTGGGTGGCCGCACAAAAAGGGGCGTGGCGAGCGCGTGGCCGCTCCGCCCGCGGCCGGGTTTTCCCGCCCGCTGAATTTGCGACAAGGCAGCGGGACGAGCGCTGCGCTTTACGGCAGCGGGCCGGGGGTCCCAGGAGGGTCCCCGGAGCGTTTTGGGGGGACCCCGGGGGGATCGCGGTGCCTCCGAGGCGGCTCCGTGAGCACCGAATCCCCCCCCCGCCCGCGCCCTCCTTCGTGCCGCTGCTCGGAGCGCGCCTCGCTTGACGGCGGGTTGTACGACAGCCTCAGGCGCGTGCGGCGCGCTTTACGGCAGCGCGGCGGGCACCGCGGCCCGGAGATTTTGGGGGGATTTTGGGGGGATTTTGGGGGGTCCCGGCGGGTCCCGGGGGGGGCCGCGGCTCGGTGCCCCCCCCGAGGATGCCGCTGGCCGTGCAGTGGCCGTTCCCCGCGGAGCCGTCGCGGCGCTGGGCCCTGGCGAGCCGCGTGGTCACGGGCCTGGTGGGCACCTACAGCTGCGTGTGGACCCGTGAGTGACCCCCCCAAAAAAAACTGGGGTTCTGAGGGGAAAATCCCCCCCAAATCACGGGTGTGAGGGGAGAACCCCCCAGATTCTGGGGTTCTGAGGGGAAAATCCCCCCCAAATCCCGGGTGTGAGGGGAGAACCCCCCAGATTCTGGGGTTCTGAGGGGAAAATCCACCCCAAATCCCGGTTCTGAGGGAAAATCCATCCCCAAATCCCGGCTCTGAGGGACAGACCCCCCAGAAATTTGGGGTTCTGAGGGGGAAATCCCTCCAAATCCCGGTTCTGAGGGGAGACCCCCCCCCAGATCCCGACTCTGAGAGAAAATTCCCCACAAATCCCGGTTATGAGGGAGAGACCCCCCCAGAAATTTGGGGTTCTGAGGGGGAAATCCCCCCAAATCCCGGTTATGAGGGAGAGACCCCCCAGAAATTTGGGGTTCTGATGGGAAAATCCCTCCCAATTCCGGCTCTGAGGGAAAATCCATCCCCAAATCCCAAATCTGAGGGGAGAGACCCCCCCCAAATTCTGGGGTTCTGAGGGGGACCCCCACCAAATCGCACCTGGACCCCCCCGTCACCCCCAGTCCAGTTTGGGGGGGGGGTCTTGTCTCATCCCTTTCATCATTTCAGATCCCCCCTCCTCCAATAGTTTTGGGACCCCCCAAAATCCTTTCAGATCCTCGGGACCCCCCCCCCTCCAAAATATATCCGAGACCCCTCCCCAAACAGCTCTAGGGACCCCCAGCTCCTTTGGGACCCCCCCAAAGACCCCTGGGGAGCCCTAAAACCCTTCAGACACCCCAAAATTTCTTCTCCAACCCCTTTAGGACCCCCTGAGGACTCTCCCAATCCCCCCCAGACCCCTCGAGGACCCCCAAAAACCACCCAGGACCCCTAAAATTCTTCAGGACTCCCCCCAAATTCCTCTTGCAACCCCTTTAGAATCCCCTGAGGCCACCCCAGCCCATCTGGGACCCACTGGGGACTCCCCCAGCCCCCTCTAAGACCTCCCCAACCCCCCCCAGAACTCTTCAGACCCCCCCAAATTCCTTCTTCAACCCTTTAGGACCCTCTGGGGACCCCCCCCAAAACTCTTCAGTCCACCCCCAAATTCTTCCTTCAACCCTTTAAGACCCTCTGGGGATCCCCCAAAACTTTTCAAACTCCCTCTTTACACCCTTGGGACCCCCTGAGGACCCTCCTAACCCCCCCCCAAGCCCTTTAAACCCCCTGGAGGAGCCCCCCAAAACCCCCCGGGACCCCTCCCCAGGGTACCTGAACCGGCTGCGGGTGCACAACGCCGAGGTGCTGCACGAGCTGGTGGAGAGGAGGGGGCCCGGGACCCCCCTGCTGACCCTGTCCAACCACGCCTCCTGCATGGATGACCCCCACCTCTGGGGTACCCGGGGGGGTCCTCGAGGGGGGTTTGGGGGGATCCTAGGGGTGTCTGGAGGGGGTTTGGGGGGTCCTAGAGGGATCTCAGTGGGATTTGGGGGGTCT